CTCTCGAATATAAGAGCGAGAAATATGAAGTAAACTACATTGTTACTACATTGTTATTACATTTTTACTCTAATGTTTATGGTACGTATGAATGTGCGCAGAATCAATACACCTAAAAACAAGATTAAATAAATAAATAATTATATAAATGTATTAAATAAAATAATAATTAAGAAATGGATAGTTAAATATATTCACTTTAAATGTGAAAATCGCTAGGGTCAGAAATATAAAGCTCTGTATACCTAATACATTAAATAATAACGATAACGATATAAAGATTATTATAACGATTCTATAAGTATAACGTATCATACTATGTTACTTTTGCACTATAGTATTGTTTATCCTTTGGTTGCACGCTTTGCACTCGTCAGCTCTGGCTTGTATTGTTTCAATTCAATTCAGTTTTAGTACAATCCCAGTTCAATTATAAACAACAAACCTAATAGCAATAAGAATACCAAAGAAAAAGAATGAATATACCGAAATATGTTGAAAAATGATTTATTATTTGATTTTATGTTATTGGTATATTTAATATAATTTATTTTAATTCAAATTATTTAGTAACAATATTTTATGCCTGTTATATCTATATTCTATTATCTTCAGTACATACATATATAGGAAATATAGTACGAGTTTAAAACTAAATATATTGTTAAAAAAGAGTACAATATATTACGATTATATTTTGATTTTTCTTTTATACTTGAAATTTTTAATCAATGTATTCTAATGAACTTTAAATTTGTTTTTAATACAAAGTAGCACAGTATCCATATAGATATAGTTTTTATCGTCTGTTATCATCTCGAGGAGAACAAATAATAAAAATAATGTCAATTTGACGTCCTCGTTCTCGTGTCAATTTGTTCTAAATTTTTAATTTATTATCAATTTATTATTTAAATTTTGTGTTTCGAATGTAGCTCCAATAAATTGGTTTGTAACTGTAAGTTAATTTACAAGGACGGTGAATAAATGTCATTATTTGTTTGTAAAAATATTTGTTCACTTATGTATATGTAGCAAACAGGAACAAACATGTTAAAAAATATAAGTGGTAGACCTTACAATATATAAAATTAATATTAATAAATTTTTTAAATAAAATTATGTGAATATAACTTTATAAAATTACGCATGATATTCTATAATCTTCTTGTAATACTTTTAAAACTATAATTAACTGTTTATTATGCAGCACATCTGCCTACAATTATTATACAAGGTGTCCCGTATAAGATGTATCAAAAGAAAAATGTAAGTAGAACAAATAAAAGTGAACAAATATTTTAGAGGTCATTTTTCAAATAACTATTTTAATTAATATCTCGAAATTTTACGTGGTTATTTGAAAAATGACCACTACAATATTTGTTCACTTTTATCTGTTCTACTTATATTTTTCTTTTGGTACGTCTTATGCGGGATACCTTGTATATTTGATTACATTTAAGAGAAAATAAGAAGAATAAATAAACTTGATACATCAACTTACCCTTTTTTCCTTTTAATGTCGTCAAAATCGCCAATGTACCGCGTAATGTCGTCAAACTTTACAGTGTCGTCAAAGCATCCGCTGTATGGTTATTTTTAATTTGACGACTGTCGTCAAAGTATACGATAGGTCTATAAAACTTTGACGACGGTCGTCAAAATAGCCAAAAGTCGTCAAAGTAGCCAATGCGTGCGAAAAATCGTCGCCAAAGTATACGATTGACATATATATATGTATGTGTATGTATGTATATATTTACATATAAAATAGCCAAACAAATTTTGAACAGAGTCTGCTGTAAAAAAAATTGCTACAGTATATTTTCTTACCAATAAAAATTTTTGTTGGAAACTAAAATGAAACAAGAAATACTAATAATTTCATTAAAAGTATTTTGATTAATGTTTTTCACAATAAAACATACTAACCTGTAAACTTCTTGATTACCGAGGCACCATAATGTAATAGCTACTTGCTTATGAGGAGACATTTTTACAGCACCACGCTCACGATATAATTGAGGTCCAAGATCTTGTACTAATCTCTCATAAGTATGTTTTTCTAATCGAAAATGTGACTTGAAATTTGATAAAAAAAATGTTAATGTTATATATTACAATATATATAAGAAGAAACACTCGCAAAAAGATATAACAGTAAAATATAATAAAGCAAATCTTCTACGTTCTTTACCTGTTAAAGAATATGTCAATACGACAGTTTCAAAAAACTCTGGGACCTTAGGATGAAACTCACGTTCAGGTGGAAGGTAGTCAATATCATCATCCTCATCTGATGGATTATCAAATAATAAGTCCCAATATCTTTGTATATCCATTTCTTGTCTGAAAATATTTCATCATTATTAAATCGTAATTACACTAACGATTGTTGATTGATGATTATGAATTAACGATTAGACTTAGACAATTGGAATTGTAACAAAGCACGCAAAGAAATTCGTTAATTTTTCCAAATATAATCTTCAATCGTCAATCGGCAATTACTAGTACAATTACAACTTTAAACATTACAGTATGAAGAGAATAACCTAAATAACATTTTGCTAATACATGTTTAAAATAATAAATATTTTAAGTACTAATGTTGATATCGTCCGTAACATGTACATATACATTACATTTTAAACAAAGAATTTTTTGTTTTGCAGGAATAGATTACATGAAAAGAATATTTATAAGTAAATTAGAATAATTGAATTTCTTATTTCGGATATTCCACAAATACATGATATTTTCTCATAACTTTTTATAACTTCAATTTAATATTTATGATTTTCCTAAAATTTAATAATTAATTGATTTTTAATGTAATTGTTTCACATTTTACACAATTATATTACCTGATAATGTTGACTCGTTCGAACGCTATTTACTACGTTAGCTAACTCTACTCGCCTTACCGGACAGCATTGAGTTGTCATAAATCATGAAGGTATTAGGTGGTCGTGCCTATCATATTTTTCGGTTCTGGTGGAACTAACTCATACTCGATTTACCGTAAACACCTACAGTTTTGAATGCAGCCAAAAATTGTCACTACTCGATACAGTTTGGAATACAGTTGAATTCTTCAATGAAAGAATAAATCATATGAGAATATATCCAAGATAAGTTCTTTTATTTAGATTACTTGGTTGCGTTCTAAACTGTATCGAATGACAACTTTTGGTACATTCCAAATTACATCAAATAATGTTAACCTTTATGTTCACAACTGTATTGCACCAGTGCTGTACTAGTTTCCCTAGTAAAAAATGCTATAAGAAAAGGAAATAGAAATGATTTAAGCACATTCTACAATGGCTGTAAACATGTTACTGTAAGGCTGTAATATAAGCTGTCAGCGAATGATAATAATTCATTTCGCTTCTAACAGCCTTACAGCCATATGCTTATGGTGTTTGTAGAATGATTAAATCCTTTGTTTATTTTTCTTAGAGCATTTTTTATTGTGAAAACTAGTACAACACTGATGCAATATAGTAGTGAACAAAAAGGTTGACACTTCGATGTAGTTTGGGATGCAACCAAAGGTTATAACTATTTGATGCAGTTTAGCACGAAACAAATAGCTTAAATAAAAGTACTCATTTTGTAAATATTCTTACATAATTTATTTTTTCATTGAACAATTCAACCGCACTTTAAACTACATCAAAAAAGTAGGAAAAATCATTTTGTTTATGGCTATACTGCACCCGAGCTATACTAGATTTTCCAGGAGAAAACGCTATTAATTCGTACTTACTTTTCCCACTCTAGGTATATGTTTTATTGTTGATATGTCGGATGGTAGAATACAAACAGAAAGTCTTGAAGTACTTATTAGGTGTGGAATTCAAGAATACGGCACATGACGTTACAAGTCGCCAACACGGTAGTATTGCGACTGTGTATCTGCATCGAAAGTAATTTTTTTTTGCTGCAATATAAAAATATTTTCACATTAGAATAAGAATATAAATAAAGAAATATTTATATATATTTCATGCGCAATTTTCTAAGAGCATAACCTCCAATTTTATGTAGAGTTTCACCGATGAACTATTAAAGATGTATAAAAAATATTATACAAAATATATAAGAGAATATTCTTAGATTTTATTTAATGTTTCATACTACATGATTTATAAAAGAAAAGGGAAGATTACGTCTGATTACGATGATGTCAAGCAATGTTGGCGAAAAAGCATGGCGAAGATACGTTGTAATTCACTTTGCGGCATATAGTTGGCGATTGTGTAGATGCATGGCGCGAACTATTGGTTTAAACGCACAATGAGCATATTTCAACCAAGAGTTAAAACCAGGTCAGAATCGGATCAGATTATATTCCATTTCACGCATACATGTACTTTATCTACAGTAGACAGACATGACGTATAATTGAAACGGTATGCATTTTGATCCAACTCTGACTCGATTTGAACCCTCGGTGGAAACTTACTCAATATTGCTTTAGTCAAATAATATTCAACATAATTTGATTCTACGTTTGCGTCGGTAAATTTTTCTCCTGCGATAAAGAGCTGGGTATTTATTACAGTTCTTTCGACGAAGTGAAAATTACAAAAGTGAGCAAATTTACTAGATATTGGCCAATGAAATTATTAATATTCTAGTAAATTCAATCACTTTTGTAATTTTCACTTCGTCGAAAAAACCGTAATAGGTACCTTGATTTATTCATTAAACTTCACACTCTATATCCCTTAATGATTATGTTATGATATTTATATATTAGAACAGATATTTTCTTACCTTTATATGACTGTGTACGTACGTAGTGTGCTGGTTATATATAATCACATATTTCACTACCTTTATATATTTACTACCTTTTTTAGAAGTTATTATTAAATATATTGCATTATAAACAATGTGCAATACATAAACTCAAAGAATATTCTAAAATTATTTTGAACGAATATTCTAAAATCGTTCTCGAAGAATATTCTACAAATATTCTCGACAAATATTCTATACACATTCGAAGAATATTCTTGGCACGTTCTTTTTCATTATGAAAATATGACTTTAATTGTAATATTCTACGTATATTTCTTCTTCGTATATTTCGTATATTATACTTCTACGTATATTTATAGAATATTCCATTTGAATATTCTGAAATTGAGAATATTCGTATTCCAGAAGAATATTCATAGAACATTGTGTGCTATCTGGGATATGATGTTACTATTACGTTAGGCTGTGCTGATTCTGCATATTTGCCACCCTCTCCTAATGAGACATATTTGTTACAAAGAGATAGCGATGGACCATATAAAAGTCACCAGCAAACAGTCCATGTCCACATCGACAAGGGAGAGAGAGAGAGAGAAAAACTACAATAAAAAATGTTGAACAATAATGAATTTAGAAGACCCGTATATGGGGAGGAGGAGGAAGTTCTGTTACAACAAAGCCCCCCACGTAAGTTTTTAATAGATTGTATAATCCAGGTTTTTATATTTTTTAAAATAATAATTAATCCAATTTTAGCTATCGAGGAAAGGGAGGAGGAGGAGGAAGAGAAAATGGAGGTTGATGAAGAGGAGGAAGTAAACGCACAGTCGGCCATAGGTGAGAGAGCAGACAACATTTTTTATAATTTGTAATCAAATTTTCGATTTTTCTGTATAGAAAAGCGTTAAATTAATTTTTAAATTTGATTTCAGAACATATAGAAGTCATTAACATTAATGACTCTGAGGAGGAGGAGGAGGCTGATGAAGAGGAGGAAAAAATAGGCGTACAGTCCACCAATGGTGAGAAAGCAGACAATATTTTTTATAATTTGTAATCAAATTTTTGATTTTTCTGTATAGAATAGCGTTAAATTAATTTTTAAATTTGATTTCAGAACATATAGAAGTCATTCCCATTGATGACTCTGAGGAGGAGGAGGAG